TTTTTTTTTTTTTTTTGGTGTCGGGGGGGGGGGGGGGGGGCAGGAGGGGAAGGCATGTGATCATCAAAAGATCAGTGTATTTTTTTGATGCTCTGTAAACAGTGACTGACTTCATACAGTTTTGAGGTATCAGGCCAGAGTTTGGAGAATTAAAAGCGTTCGCCAACATCTAGTGCTGAGCACCGCACTTAACGGGGCTCAAGCCTTTAAGCAATAGCAGTAGGAGGACAGCCTTTTGCAGGTCCTTTTTTAAAAATATATAATTTTGAAATAAGGATGCTTAGTTTTAGAGCAGGACAGTTTTGTTGAAAAGCTGAAAATGGCTGCCAGTCACTACTGACTTACAGATCATAAAATCAAATAGGCATTTTTAAAAGAAAGAACCTTTTAAAACAAAAAGTTCACAGTGTGTATGATCAAGTGCGGTAGCTGGTATCCACTAACTGCTGCCTGTGTGCCCGTCAGCGTTCCTGTGTTACACACCTGGCCTCAAACACGGGGCTCCGCTGCCCTTCAGAACAGTGGGCAAATCTGGGCGCTCCTCACACTGCTTTATTTTTGTAGAAATTGATGACTAGTAACAGCACTGTTAAGGATTGCAGCAGGAGAACAGTTGGATGATGGCCAGACAGGTGAAGGACCGTATAGGTTTGTCCTTGGGCAGGTCTGTACTCACCAGGTGGTTCCCTCGCTGCCCGGCACTGCAGCACTGGAGTTCCACAGAGGGGACCTTTGGCAGCAGCGCTGACAATTGCTTTTTACAGCCTTGTAATGAACTTTGTGCTGTCTGTAATTCCTGAACTGCAGCTACAGACACTGGAAGACTTCATGTAATCTGGGGCTGTTTAGCACTTGTGCACGTTCATCACAAGTTGATGTGCAAACGTGGCTTGATGCCCTGACCCGAGGAGAGCCAGCCCCTGGGGAGGGAAAGGCCTGGTGTAGCCAGTGTCTGCTGCTGGTCTCTGGGGCTGACAGACCCGGCCACATCCCAGCCCAAATCACTGCACAAGGGGCGCCTTTTCCAGGGGCCCTGTCCCCAGCCCGGCCTCACTCCAGCCTCTGGGGGAGGCTGCAGACGCAGCTGCCAGGATTTTTCAAACAATGCTCTGCTGTGTAGTCATCGCTGACCTGCTGCAGCAGGACTCACTGGTGCACGGCTTAGTTGGCGGAGTACAGTATCATTTTAAAAGTTGATTGAAATTTTCCTCATAACACTGTTGTATAGAGTTTTATTGCACTACATGAAACCATGTAAACTGACACAAAGATGTGTGAGTTTATGGTAAAGCTTTCACAGACCATCTAACTTTTCTGTATCTATCTCAAATTTCCTGTTTGGAAATACTGATTTCCTTTTAACTGTAAATAGCTCAACTCTGTACAGCGCAACAGTGCCCAGGCAGCTGCAACAGAAGCTTTTGATGATGTTTTTTTGTAGATGGCTATTCCTATGAAAAGGACGCCATAGAGAAGTGGATCAGCAATAAAAGACGCTCTAGTCCCATGACAAATCTTCCTCTCCCCACTCTCGTGCTCACCCCAAACAGGACGCTAAAAATGGCCATTGGTCGCTGGCTGGAGACGCAGCAGAAACACAGTCACACAGCTTAACTTGGAAGTTGTTTGTTAAAATTGATTGACATGAAATTGTATGTAGCTAAAAAAATAACTGTATCAGAAACAATGGGAAAGAAAACATTGTGTTTCTGTTCTAATCTGTGGCTGTCATTTAAATGTGTGTTAGAAAGAAAATCTTCACTGTTGGGCGCTCCTAGAAAATGACTCAAAAACTTTTAAGTAAGTCATTGGTAATGTCTGTTTTGGATTCACTATTTTTACAACAAAGTTTTCTTAAAATTTATGAGGTTTAAGTCTTAATTTTACCAAAGTATATAATTTTTTTCTAATTAAACACCAAAAACGTCTTTCTCTGTTCCCTGTTACTGAACACGCGGCTGGAAAGGTTGGGAGGGTTTCTCCTGAAACAGGCAGTGGCTGCAGCTCATCCCACAGGTATATTAATAATCTTTATTTTGTATGGAAAAAATACAGTAGCTGTGCAAAAATAGAACTACAGGACAAGACTAATATAGGACTTTTAAAAATATCAAAGAAATGGTAAACAATAAATAAGCTAAAGCATAATGATGCAAACTCAAACCGAATTTGTAAAAATGGGTACAGCCTGGGATGTACAGAGAACACCGGACACAAGCACCACGGGAAGGCGACCGCTCCCACCCAACCGCGCTCACAGGAATGTCACTGCATCTGTTGATGCTCAGAACGTTCTTGCCCGTATAAAACCTTATTTCCTCTGAAAAATGTCACAACTTCCCTCTGTCATGCAGCCACACGTACGCTTTTCCTCAAACTTTCATCTTCAACTCCATGGATTTCTCAGGTTTCCTGTAAAACCACTTCCTAAACATTGCATTGCTGTACCTTTCTCATGAATAAACAATAAATCATTTTACTTTAAGATAGCACCCAGAGGTGATTAGATAAACTATATAAAGTGCGATTATTGTTAATATGCTATAATAGTGTGTTCTTCAGTGCAATAACCAATATGGTCAAAGCCTTTCAATACACATGCAAATATCGCTGTTTATTTTACTGGATTTCTTCTAGTTACTAAAAATAGTTATATTTACATGTCAAACCATGGCCACTTATAGCTTACTCATACACAAATTAATTATGCTTCCTAAATGTACATCATGCAACCCAAATTAGATACCAGTAGAAAAGTGATAAAATACTATCTTTGATTTTAAAAAAAAGCATACATATACAGATCTGAGTATTACGCAGCAGGTATCTCTCTTAACACTGGTTTTGAAGTAAGCACTTAAGCATTCTAGAGGCACGATTATTATGCAGGTGGTGAGATGTGATACAGCCAAAAGCCCAGATTAAAGCCTTACATAAAAGAAAAGTCTTATTTAATGGTTAAATGTAGTGGAAAGGATTTCTCTGCTTGAGGTCGTAGTTTGGTGGAGTGCAGCTCCCAATTGACTCTGCTATTCCAGTTGCTGTCACTGTCCTGGGGTGGTAGGAACAGTCTGAAGTGGTTGTATCCCGTTACGTACTGGCCAACAGGGACCGCTGACCCAAAGAGGCAAGCGACCAGCCAAGCGGTACTTTGTGCAGCAGCAGCACCCTAGGGTGTTACGAGCTAAGCCTTACAACCCTGTAAATACACAAAATAATAGTTATACATTTGATTCAATGAACGATCGCTTTGGTTTTGCAGATGTGACATGACTGAGGGGGGCTTCCTTACTGCTGTGAGACTGCGGGTTCGATACAGCATCTGGGTGTAAGTGCGAAGGTTGTTTCGGTGCCCGGGTCTCCTGACAGTGGGTGGGTATTTGGCACTTGAACTCCTGGCGTTCTGCCGCTCGCACACCGTTCTGGTTGCTCTCTGCAGCACCAGCAGAGGAAAGCTTAGTTTGGTGGTGCTTGGCTGAGAACTGCTCGGAATGTGCGGGCTGAAGGGCCCCCGAAGCAGCGTTTGTGGCCAATCCATCTGGTGCCTGAGAGTGCCAGGTGCGGCTGGACTGAGCGCTCTGCTGCTGGAACCTCGCCGTCTTATCCATGATGCCCATGAAGGGGGTGTGGCGAGGTCTGTGCTCGGCCACGGCTCCCTGGACCGGACCGACGCTGTTCTCCTTGAGTCGAACGTCTGGGCCCTTAACACCATCCGAAAAACTACTGGCTGAAGGGGAGCTGCTGGTGGAGCTGGCAAGAGTCACGCTGCCGGAGGGAGAACTGGCGGAGACGCCGCCGACGGGACTTTGCTGCCTTCTTGCCTCACCCAGGCTCATCTGAGCGGGGGCTGCCAACCTGTCCGCGGCTTTGGACTTACTTGGGAAAGAATGGGAGGAGAGGTTCTCGTGCTGCTGGGGCTGGGGACACTGGCTGGACATAAACTTCTCATTGTACAGGTCAGAACCAGGCTCTGTGGAAACGCCTCCGGGTGATAATGTGCTTGTCCCATCCAAATGCTGAATTTTGGAGCGCCGGACTGGCAAGGGGCTCTGGGGAAGATGCTGAAGAGATGATTGTGCCTTTGTATTACATTGTCCGCTTCCCATTTTTGATCCAGGCTGGCTGGAGCTCAGGTGCTGGTTAGTTTTTACAATCTGTGCCTGCTTTGTTGGCTGCAGGACCAAGCCTGGCTCTCTCAGGTATCTATTGCCTGCCCTGCTTTGAGGGGAGGCCGGTCTGGCTTTCTGCGGAACGTCCTGAAGGGTCCTGCTGTGGGATGAAGTCGCTGAGGACCGTTGCAGCCTTTGGGGAGAGGAAGCAGGTTCATCAGGGTGTGGTAGTTCATCTTCCCTGTCTTGAGAATTAAAATTATCATTCACGCTGACGCCCTCCTCCTCATTATCAGAGTTGTTAATTTGCTGTAGTAGCTGTGGGGACTGACGCTTCTGCTGCTGTGTCCTCTGGAGCTGTTTGCATTCCTCTTCTACTCGAGCCAGGAGACGCTTTATCTCTTGATTGCCAGGACACAGTTGTGTGGCTTCACGTAAGTCAGCAAGAGCAGCAAGTAGCTTTCTGTTTAGGAAAAATAAAAAAAAATAAACTTCACAGAAACCCGGGACAAATCCAAGTCTCAGCGTTGCCTTCAACTAACGCATCTCCACCACTTCCATGAACTATTCTGATTTGTCATCTGCTGCTACAGGTGCTGACAATGTAAGAACTGAATGTTCTCCATCCCAGGAAATTCCTTCCTACAGTGAAAGCGCCCGGCCCTGAGCCCTTCCCCCGTAACAGCATTTTCAGGAAGGCACCAGAATGCTGCTGGGAGCACTGGGAACTGGCACTTTGTCCCAAGCCCTTTACCATTATCTTCAGAGCAGGAAACCTGCTGAACTCTGCTTCATCACCATGTATTGTTTGCCGGGAAAAGATGCGGTGAATCAAAAAGGCCCCTCTCCCTGCGCTCCAACTACACCACTGCACTTTGGTATTTTTCTGCTTAAAGAGATGGTTCCTCTTCCTCTCACCTTGTTTTTATCCAGAACCACTAATGATTCAACACCCCCTGTCCTGTAAAGGCAGCCAGTTATTCTTGGTAACAAACGATGCAGATGATGGCTGACAACATTCTGCCGAGTCACACGGAGCAGCAGTTCCCAGTCACTCTTGCACTTAAAATAATCCCTCTTCATTTCGTTACTTTTGTTCTGCATAATAATTACCTCAATGAGTATTCAATACTGCTTTTTGGGTGGGTTGGCTTTAACTGATACACAGGCTTAAAGCAGATGGAAAGTGCACAAGGAAAATAACTTTTTCTTTGCACATTCCAAATACAACTAGCAGACAAGAAAAAGAGTGACTGAAAGTGTTAGGAAGTTAAAAAAAAAAATCTGTGCAGGCAGATGCAGAGAATGGACGATACCTGCTGTTCCTCTTGGCTCTCGCTCTGGCATAATAGGCTTCGTAAGACTTGGGTTTCAGATCCAATGCTTTGGTAGCAAACTCCTCAGCCATACCAAAGTCCTAATAATTTAAACAAATGTATTCATTAGACATGGACAATAAAAGAAACCTGCCTGCTCTTTATTCACTGTTCTACTTCAAAAGTGCAGCTTGTGCTGTAAAGAAAGTCACCTTTCTCAGTTTGCAAGTGCGGGTATTTTCTGAAAGACTCAGACCAGATCTTATCTTTCAGAGACTGCGTGTTTAACAGGATAAATAACCACAGAGAGCAAGGCTTTAGAATGTGTTTTGAAAAAAGACCAGTTAAAGACCTAGGAATTTAGAGAAAAACAAGAAAAAAATAATCAGGCAATCGGTTGGACTAGTCCAGAGCTTTCTTTGATAAGATACATGACATTTATAGAGAAGAATTGGACTAGATGTAATGTATTTGGCCTCCGTTTAACAAGAACACAGAGTAAGAGTTCAGTGAATTGATAAACCAAAGAGTGGAATTAGCAAAGCAGAACTGAAATGGGGACAAAGCTGGCTCTGGGGAAGATGAAGGCAGAAGCAAGTCTACTTTTTATAACAGCCACGCACAGCACAGGGCTTTCCTGATACTGAATTATATTGAGCGGGATGACACAGAAGGTTGGGGAGTATTGACAGCAAAAAAACCCATCCTGAGATACCCTGCAAGAGCAAAGCAACGTGATGAACCTGAGCTTTAGATGTTGGTGATGCACTTCAGGATCAGCAAAATGTTAATGAGAATTTATCAGTGGGATACAGCAAGAAACACGTGTGTCACACACTCACACCCACCCACCCACACTACCTGGTCACAGAGCCACTCTCTGCTGTTTGATGCCACTGAAAAAGCCAAATCTCAGGAAAGGCAGCTCCAGCAGAAGATGGAAGGAAGGACTGGTTCTGCTGTGCAGAGCAGCAGAACTCCCCATGTAAAGTCCTGGACATCTCTGTTTAGAAATTCTCCATGTTGGAGCAGATGCCAGGAACAACTGGGATGACCAGGGAATTAAGAAGTTACCGTTTGAAAAGAGGGAACAGTTAACGTATATTCAGAAAAATCAGAAGTTTTTGCTCTGACGGTCACTCGGGCTCCTGCCAGCCACCACATGCCCTGGTGAGGGTACAAAGGGCCAGCCAGCACACACGGGACAGCCCCAGGGGCAGGTTTTGCTCTGTGGGTGCAAGGGGGAGGGTGGTGGCACTTTTCATTCAGTCTTTTAAAAGTACCAACCCCATCCAACCGTTCATCATTCCAAAATCACTGGACTACATCGGAACAGCTGTAATGGATCCCTCATGGCAACATCCCCTCATCTTAATGACTGTCCCCATTCGCTGACACAATCAGGACACAGAGAAAAGGATTTTAAAATGCAAAAACAGATGCACAAATACAAACTCAGTAATGCAGCACAACAGAAGTCCAAGATCCCCAAAGCCAGAGAGGCAACATACTCACAGCAAGAGCTTACATTTGTTTTTCGGCGACATCGTGATAAATTTAGGTACAGTGAAACTCTCAGCTCATTGAACGCTTTCATTTCTTCTCCAAATCCTTCCCTTGGAAACTTCCTCAGGGCATACTGATAGCGCTGGGCTGCCTCCTTCATCTTACCTTTCTACAAACGTAGGGAACAAGAGGCTTTTCACAAACTCTTAATATTCCAATACTGTTGACAAAAAGCACACTTGTATTTGACATCTACCAAGAGGTCAAGTAGAAAGCAAAAAGACAGGTTGTTTTTTTAAGAAAACCTACAGAATATGAATTACAGACAGACTCAATGAGAGTACCTGCATGTTAACTAGAGCTTGTGTTTGTTTCTAAACTCATACCATTAATGGTATTTCACTAGGATAATATTTGCATTAATACATACTACTTGTAACAGAAAGATTAATGTATGTACAATTAATGTATGATACGATTCATTATTTATTTATTTATTTATATTTTTTAAACAGAGCAGTCAAATATCTGGTGATATAGTTGGTTAAAGCTCTAACTCCTGGCTGGTTCCAGCAGAGCACGTCCTGGCTGAGGTGGGGGCACCACAGGAGGGGCTCTGGCCGGGAGGGTGGGCGCGAGCCCCGACCCACAGCCCGGCCACCACCCGGAGCGGGCGGGCAACCCGGCAGAGGAGGGTAAAGGAACCAAAGTCGCTGTAATTCTGCCCAACAGAGGCTGAGTGAGAGACCTGATCTGCCCCTCGGGACACCCGAATGATCTTCCCTTGTACTGGAAATGCTCAGACTCTCCAGGAGATGCTTGGAGAACATCTCCATAATAAACTGAAGATTTGAGACAGTTTTGCTAAAAACATTTAAATCGTGGCATGAGAACAAAAGCAAGTACTTCAGTTGACAGATGAAGAATTTTTTCCCTTCACGGGTATTTTACAAGTTAATTTACTTTCACAAACATTGGGTGGTTTTTATTATTTAATTCATCTTAGCTCTCCAAGTGGACAAAATTTACTGTTGAAACTGGCAAGGAAAGAATTTAATGTTTGTATTATTTTATTCAGCTGGAGAGCTGAAACGTAGTTATTGCATACTGTGAGCACACTCAAATACATGTTACTCTGCAAAATAACTATCACTTTAAAGCACTTTGACAAATAAATGAATGGGTATACTGGAGAAAGTTGAACAAGCTAAATTGCACACCACAGCTCTTGCAAGTCCATTCAAATTACTATAATAAAATTAAGCACTCTCAAAGTAGACACCGGCAGGGAATTCACCCTCTTGTACCAAACTGTGAAACATACGAGCAGCAAGGCCCGCTGTGTTCAGGGAGGGTTCAAGCTGTGGAGCAACTTGAGGAGACACTGAAGAAAATGAGTTGTTGGTGGGAACATGGTGGCACCTCCTCCCTGCTGGGCTGCGAGTGGCAGCGGGGACACCGCGGGGAGGCTCCCCAGGAGCCATTGTACCCTGAAATCTGTCACCCTCTGGGCTGAAGCTTGTCCCACGCTTACAGGTGCCTGCTTGGACAGAAAGCTCTGAACTCAGCTCACCACCAATGAACTTGATAAATTCATGGGACTCCTGCACAGAATTTGGAAGAATCTACATAGGTCCACCCTGACCCAGGACAGCGAAGCCTCCGGGGTCGCTCCTCCGCACTGTGCAAAGCTACTTGATACAGAACAAAGATCAGAAACAAGGTGGCAGGTTCCTGAGGGCCCTTATAACAAACCCTACCAGTTACGAGCCTTGTAGCTAGAACAGACTGAAGGGTGTGTGTATGAACCACTCAGCACCGCATTGCACTAGGGAAATCACGCCGTTTAAAAACCAGTCTCTCTTCTGAGCAACACATCACCTCTAGTAAACAGAACGTATCCAAAGAGCTGCCACCTGCCTCATTATATACTTAGCACACAAAAGAACATTATCCTGAAGGAAAGGATATGCCTAAATGTCACTTACTTCAAGTGCACACCTTATGTTCTCAGTTGCTCTTAAGAAGCAACTGACTGATACTGAGCGACTTGTTCAACAGAAAGAAAATGTACTTAATCATCCTTAAATTGTTATTTATTTATTTTATACAGGAGTTTTCCGTGATTCTTTCCCAGGGTTTCAAGACTTCTTGGTCTCATTCCCAACATGAGAGGCTGTGCAAGTCTTGTTTGAACGGAAAAAAGGAGGTATGAGGGACTTCAATCTACCTTCAGACAGAAGTCCAATTATAATGTTCTGCTATCGGAAAAAACAAAAATCTACCTACTTTGTACAGTATATTTCCTTCTTCCATCAGTTTCTGCAGCAGAATAAGGAGAATATCGGGTTTTGAAGTGGCCATTGCCCATGCTGCATTTCCTGCAAGTTAAATTTTAAGGATCTCTGACAAAAGGGAAGAAAGTGTGTTTCTGACATCTGTTCACACTAGAAAGCCTAATTCTCCTTCAGTAGATATTCCATCTGCATGGAACCACTACTATTATTATTATTGTTATCATTATTATTGTGTGCACATACATTTAAAATGCATATGTCCCCGCTGCCCCACATAGGTAGCAGCCAGACACCAAATTTCACCCCCGGTCTAAGGCCTCTACAGGGCACTATGAACGTCACGACAAAGTTCAGGCCTAAGCAAGGGCCTGTATTCAATCATACTTAGTACCCAAATAATAATAAATAATGATTTAAAGGTACTACAGGTTCAATAATTACCACATGCACATCTGCACCATCTACTTGCCTACTGATAACACATAATTTGCACATATATTTTTTGCCCCCCTTTGCAAAATTGTACAGTTCTATAATTTATTAAAAGAGTGTTATTTAATGTAAAACTTCCCAATCTAAATTTTGTTAACAGCATCAGAATTAAGTATCACTAATAGTGTAAACATCATTTCCTTGTTTAAGTGTATCACGGTATACCATGTAAAGACCTCCAGACCTCAACACACATCAAAGAAAAGAATAAATAAAATTACTTGCATTTCCTCACCCCTGGAGTGAGTCTGGGGTGTCTGCCTTTAAGAGACCGATTTCTCTTGAGCGGGTGTCTGCGAATCACACACCCCGCAGAGCCCTAGTGTGCACCCCGAGATTTATTTATTTAACCTGCTTTGCAGAAACGACAGCAGTTCCAGCAGAGCGGGTTCTCGGCTGCTTCCCCTGAGCAGGGACAGCTTTACTCACCCAGCTTGGCTCCCTTCCTCAGCAGCATCACCACCACGGCCGTGTTGCGGCACCCGATCGCCCTGTCCAGCGGCCGCATCCCGCTGTGGTCGACGTGCTCGATCATTGCTCCTTTCTCTACCAAATACTGCACCTGCGGAGAGAAACAAGCCAGGTCTTGGAACGTCCCTGCTGGTACCACCTCATCTTCCGAGAGGCACACGGAGCGCACGCCCCACAGACACTAAAGCCACCAGAAATCCATCAAACTGAATCCAGCGAGGGCAGACAGCAGGGGAACACTATCCAACTGCCCCCAAGAGCTGCAGGTGAGGAATTAAAGAAAAATTAAAAATCACCACCCAGGTTCCTGGAAGCAGCTGTGCCAGACAAACACCAAGACCCCACGTTAGGGTTGTTGCCCTGTTGTTGGTGCTGTGCAGTGTAAGGGCAGCACGTGCAGAAGCCTGGTCACGGAGAAGCAAAATCTTTCTGCGTTTCATCAGTTCTTCATTCAGCAACATTATTCTTCCAACATCTCACACCTGGGGTCTCTGTTCCACCAAGGTACCCAACCAACTGGGACCCTGACGGGTCACCTCAATGGGTTTGCAGAGGCTGAAAAAAGATATTTTCCTTTCATGTCCCACAGGCTTTTTTCTTTTTTTTTTTTTTTTAAATTTTATTCCAGTTAGTCCAACACAGAAATTTTAAATGCTAGTTTTCCTTGAGATTTAAAACACTCACACTGAAGTACAACAGGATGCTGTAACACACAGCAGCTAATGCTGGCCTTCTGTCACAGCTGTCTTGGTACCAAAACACTCTTAGGAGTAAACACGTGCGCTGCAGCCAAGGAGCCAGCAGCGTCAACATCTTGGCTCCTTCCTCAAATTTCCCTTCTATTTTTGTTGGCAGTATTTTTTCTAAGCTTCCTTTTGTATTATGAGAATTCAAAACATGCTTAGTTTTTCGCCTGTCGTACTTACAATATCAGCATCTCCATAAAAAGCTGCCAGGTCTAGGGGTGTCCGTCCATTTTTGTCTGTCTGATCAGTTGTTGCGCCTTTCTCAACCAAATACTGAACCACTTCCCTGTGGCCTTTTAGACATGCCCAGCTCAGAGCTGTCAGTCCTTCTTTGTCCAGAGATGAAATAGTTGCACCTGTAAAATGAAAATTAACTTTGTTAAGAGGATGTCCTATTCAATAAGCAGAATTCCCTAACTCGCACAGACGCAGTCCCCGCTACCGCTGGGCAGCCTGGAACCCCTCCTTATTTCCTACCTTCAGCAAGCAGAAATTCCACAGTACTGAGATGTCCTTCACAAGAAGCCACCATAAGTGGAGTCCGGCCTTGCTTGTCGCTCAGATTCACATCAGACCCATGTGCCACTAGAAGTTTAGCAATCTGAAATAGAAAATAGTCATTTAAAAGTAAATCGGCAGATTTAAATTTTAGTTGTAATAGCACGAACTTTTAGAGGATAGGGCTAAGGTGTTATTTATAGCAATCACTGAGAAATCCCGTGCAGCTCAAGTCTTTGCTGTTTGCAGGTGAGGGCCCTCCCACTCCCGGGTTCTCTCTCTGTTAATACAGAGCAGCATGAAATATCTGAAATTGCCTCTGTTCTTGGTCTAGGAAACAAAATATTCTAACTCCCGTGTGTTACTTTTCAGGTATATTATAGCTAAGGTTGTCAGGCAGCCAATGGACTTTCAAATCCTTCGTGTATCACTTTAAATAACTTCAAAAGTGAGCTCCTGAGGTCCCTTTGAAGTTGATGCAAATGCATATTAGAAAATGTACACAGATTTGTTACAGGACTAGGGATGGGAGGAATCGGGGCCACTTCCCCACGGAATCCCCTGAGTTTGTGGAGCTGTGCCTGACCTGCCAGTGTCCCTGCCGGACAGCACAGAGCAGCGGGGGAACCCCCCTCCTGTTCACTCTGGTCACTGACGCTCCACCGTCAAGAAGTAACTCGCAGACTTCCAGCTTTCCTCGTCCCGCAGCAGCTGTCAGGGCTAAAGAAAGCATTTTCATCAACAACATCTCTTCGCTGTTCCACCACATCTTTTGACACATGGACATTATGTGAGTGTTACTGAAACCCCAGGTTTTTTTTCAGCTCAGCTGCTCTCTAAGATTCTCATAACTATTTTCAGACTCAAATGAACCAGTCAGAACCCGGCTCAGTCAATGAGCCACAGTAAATGAAAAGATGGTTCTCAATGATAACAGCTGTATGTGCATAGCTTGTAAGTTAAAAGGAATCTTTATGAAAATTTTTGACAAACCCACCAGCCTGAGGCAGTTCTAGTTCCTTTTTCATTAATCATTCTTTTTCATGACAAGACAGGCTCATCTCTTTCCACCAGGCCCTTCTCAAAGGTGAGGACGGTAAGAGTTCTGGGATTCAGCAAAGGGCTTTTACTCAAGTTTTGGGAAGTACCGTTTATCCATCCCTAGCAGTGATGCATTAGCAAACACCAGATATTTAGATCTCTGCAGGAAGTCTGCATGTTGGACAAGTCAGCTTCATTCTGCTCTAGTTAAAATTGTTTTCCCTACTTTCCATGGTGAGAAACACAGCAGGTTATCAAGCAATAGCTGCACTTGCCGTGCGTTAACCCTGGCTCCAGACTCCGAGGGGTGACAGCGCAGAGACCTCAGCCTTCAAGTTCACCTTAAAAATCCTTTCTGAGCTGAGCAGCATATGTTGGCAAGAGCGAGGGCTCTTGACCTCTCTCTAAAAAGGAGCAACCTTGCAGCTTGTGGACAGACAGACAAGACAGAGACACAGACAGACGGGGCAGCCCTGGTGAGAGAGCGGTGACTGCCACGCGTGACGCCGCAGCACGGTGTACACTGGAACAGCCCGACACCCTCTCCTGCAGCTCACTGCCCTCCCTGCTCTGCTCTGTCTGCTCACTGAAGCTGGCAAAGAAAATATTTTCCCAACCACCATTTTTTTTCCCCCTCTTAAATTTTGTTCGCATCAACTTACTGTGTTTTAAATGGAGCTTGAAATTAAAATGGGTTTTTTTTGAAGTTGTTTGTGTTGCTGTTAACGCTGTTCAGAAAAAGGGTTGTGTGCTAAATTCTGCAAGAACCAACAAAAAACCTGACCCACCATTTTCTAAATCCTAATACTGTATATTTTCCAATAAGAAGTGGCTCAAATGACAAACTTCATTTTATTATTAAAACCGGTATGTTCCCATGACTTTTATCACACAAAACTAAATTGAAAAAAAAAACCCACCAAAATTAAAAACTCTTACTTCTTAAATGAGCAACTCTAATTAGGAAAAACATGAGAAAGGAAGTACCTGTTTCTCCCCACAAGGCATCATTGTCATTGATATCTATGCCGTGGTCCTTGCCAATGGTCAGGATGTAACACACCACCTGTGGGACACAGGCAGAGCTGAGTGAGCACACAGCCTCACTGTCACTCGCGAGAGCCAGCAGCAGGCAAAAGACTTTAAAAAGGAGTGCTTCTCTAATAATGCCTACCATCAAGAGAATGGGTATTGGTAATAATCCATCAAAGCAAGCTCAGTACGGTTTTTAGTACGACTTGAAGCCGGCTGAATGTCATTAAAAGGAGTTCAAAGCAACCCCAGTGCCCTTCCGTTAATTGGTTCAGGGTTTTACATGATTATGATTTAATGAGCTCCTGTGTGACCTACATACACCAGAATAATCAAGACAAACAATGCCAAAAATAAAAACAAAGCCTCCCAGATCAGGGAGCCAATTCCATACTGTCTAAAACAAAAGGTAAAAAAGAGAATATTTGCATACAACTTGTAAAATGGCCATTCCTATGTTTTTCTTTTTACGTTGTTTGTATCTTGGCTGTTTTTCAAAATCTTTTCACAGAATAGTTTAAGCATACATTATTAAATGCTTATTTTTAAACTTGAGATGAGTTAAAAATTAAGTTTTGCTGTATTTTTATTTTGTTAGGGAAATCTATGTTTCGTAACCACCTGCTAGTAAAAAAATTATTAAATTAAAACCTTTTCTAATGGCTATTTTCTAACGGTTAGACGCTCACTGAGACGGCAGCAAGCAGGTAAGGGAGCAGAATCACACTCACAGAAGGTTTGGATGCTACGGGAAAAAGCGAGGGAGAAAGCATGATTATGATTAATTTGCTCTATTTTGCTGATATTCAGGAGTTGACTGCTTTCATTTAATCAGTAGACAGCAAACTAGAACTTTCATGAGTGAAAAAATTATCTGTTAACCATAGTTCAGAAATCCTCATATTGTGAGACAGTGATGGCTTATATATCATACCATAAATTAATTGCACATAGACATTTCCATGTTTGAATCATGTAAACAAGATCAGATTCTTGATCTTATGGCAATTTAAAAAACACATTAAAAAAAAAATAAATATTGAAACTGTTTTACTGAAGAGATTTTAAGTTTCCACTTTTAGCAAGCACATCACTTATAATGCATACACAGGAAATTCCATCAGCTTACTGCGATCTTTATTCAAGTATCTTCACCTACATATTTCTTTTATATCAAGGTTAAGATTTATTTCCCAAGGAACAAGATATACTCGTCTTACCTAAAGATCTAAAGCATTTTGAGTATTTCCTATGTGTTTACTTTTAGTGTTCCTTTTACTTAACAACACCGTAATGCTGACAAACAATTCTTTTCTCCCATACATGCACACAACACCATGTTTTATCTTAAGTGACATTAAGCCAAGGTCTGTAACCTGACGTGTGCATCAGGTGAAGAAGGTAAGCAAGTGCAAGTATGTGCAATATACAACTTGTTATACTATGAAAAGAAAAATTCAACCTGAAGTAGAAACATACTAGGGTGGATCACAGATACAGAGTATCATCATCACCAGGACAGACTTAGGACAACTTCCAAGAGCAAAGAAGAAAAAGTAGACAGAAAACTACAAACAAACAAATCCTGAAGCAAAGAATATAATTGGATAATTAACTACAGCATTTAAAACAGCTGCCAATAATGCATACTACTTTAACTATCAGAAACGTCAATGTTCTGTTTTCCAAACCACGTTTGAAACCAGCCACAAACACTGCTGTAAAATTCTGGTAGATTGAAACAGAGTTGGAAATACTTGAACTATGGACCTACCTGACAGTGTCCCATGCTGGAAGCTGCTGTCAGAGCTTGCTGCAGCGCCTGGCTTTTTCTCAGTGAATCTTGCTCTTGGGAAGGGGTTACCCAAGCAACATTGAGCAGGTATTCAAGGATATGGCAATGCCCTCTCAGCGCACTATGGACCAAAGGACACTGGCCTTTCTTGTCTGCATAGTCAGCCTGCATTGGGGAAAAACATAAACATTAACAAACAGTTAAAATAAACATCTAAAAAGTCTAGTGAAAGGCCATGGGGAGAAGCTCCTGAGAACTGCAGGAGAGCAAATGTCACTCCTGTCTTCAAGAAGGGCAAGAAGGAAGATCTGGGCAATTACAGGACAAAGAGCCTCAACTTCAGTTGCTGGGGAGGCGATTGAAAAACCTGGGACCCTCTTCCAAAGACATGCAGGACAAAAAGGTAACCAGCAGTAGTCAGCATGGGTTTACCAAGGAGAAATCAGGGTTAACCAAGCTGACAGCCTTCTACAAGACGGCAACTGGGCTGGAAAAGGGGAGAGCTGGAGATGTTCTCTACCCCCACTTCAGTCAGGTTTCTGACGCTGTGTCCTATGACAGTCACAGACAAGCTGATGAAGTACAGGTGACAGATATACACAGGGAGGTGGACCCAAAACTGGCTGAATGGAGGGGCCAGAGGGCTGTGATCAGCAGCACATGAAGTCTTCACTTCATGAAGTCTGCATAGACATTCTGGACTCCCCCATCGCCCTGCCCCAAGACTATGTGTCTTCATTATACACATGCGTAATCAACAACAGCTTTTATTAGGCCTCGGCATGATTTCGTGGCTGCAAACATTGCCATCCTTGTGCCCCCCCTTACCTTTGCACCTCTTTTGCACAGCAGTGAAACTATGTTCATGTGGCCTGCAGCGGCCGCGTAACTGAGCGCTGTCATCCCGCTCTCTGAAGGTCCATCAATAGCAGCTCCAAATTCTAGCAAAAGAGTGACCACTTCCTCGTGTCCAAGGTGCGACTGAACACACAGCACTGGAGCATTATTTAGTACTTCAGTCCTGTAATTCACATTTGCTCCTGCCAAGATCAGCAGACGACTCACCTAAAATTTAATTTAAACAAAACGTTTTTTCCCTCAGATTTGTCTGAATTTATTAAGAGACTTTGACATCTTGATTCAGGTACTCATATGTTAGTCCCTAGTTTTGAAGCAGATTTTATTGGCTGACATTGACTTTATCATGTATATAGCAACAGAAAGTTTAAAATCATCTGTTGAGAGGTTACTGTATCACCGAACTATGCACTCCTAACAGAAGACACCTCTCCCCTGAGACCCACTACACCCTCACCACAATTTCACGTGTGACTTGCTGCTGCCCTGCAGATTTATGTAACTAACTCCACTTACAGAGCACCAGATTGTGCAAAAAGCAATCTCAAAATAATTATCAGAGCTTGCGTGTGTGTGCATGTACACACAGATTTCCAATCAAAAGGCTAAAATTGCAAACTGTCAACTTAGACTTCGCCTAACGATAACCTAGAGATTCAAGTAACAGTGCAAAGTTCTGGCATTTTCCTTCTTTTCACTCTTGAGAGTATTTCCCCCTTTCCCCCCTGGATGCTTCCCCATGCAGGAGAACACAGCTGAAGTCTCCCAGCAGATCAGGGGGTACATCCCACCCCCTGCAAACGCACCCACACGCTCCCCTACGCTACAGAGCGCGGCTGCGTCAGAATTGGGGTGAAACCCTTCCCTCCATCAAAGCCATCCAGGAAAACTGAACTGGACTTGAACAACAGCTTGAAGAAGTACAAGCAGACCTGTTACAAAGGAGTTCAGTTGTGGCTGCAAAGCGGTGACTTTTTTCGCCTAAAGTGTTATGTTAGTTTCCACATTCACCAGCAGAGTTACAGCCACAGTGGCAGAGGAAGCACTGATGGCACCCAAATGCTTATTTTCTTACCTTCACATTGGGTGTATAGATGTTTCTCAGAGAGGCCAGGGCTGCAGACAGTCCATCCGTACTGTAGCCAATCCACAAGGCTTGGAGGTGACTGGAAGAAATTCCAGTCCTTTTACTGAGACCCTAACAGAAATGATACAACAGGAAATTTCACTATAGGATTAGAAATACTATTTATATCTATATCTCATCAGTATAAAGAGAAGTAATGATTTTGTTTGTATTTTGCATAAGCTTAATTTGCATAAGCATAATAACAAATTATTAAAGCAACCCAGAGGAGAATCTCTAAGACGCATTCACATGAATAGATCATAAAGCCTATTAAGCTGTCACGTTTACCTTAAAAATGTGAGCTTTAAGTATATGATGACCAAGTTCCATAGTTTGTTGGCGGTTTAACTTTCCCTCTTGCCGAGAAAACATGAAAGCCAGCAGAGCATGTCCACTCCTAGTAAAAAGATTTAAGAGAGAGAACTACTTTTATAACTATACTTTCCATAAATGTCCTGACAAATGTATGCCTGTCATGACAGCTCAATTTTGTCAGACTACTGAAACACACCACTACACCTGAACAAAATTATTTCTATAACGAAACAATGCAAAGAGAAAAAAAGGCAAATTTCAAAGTTGAGCATTTCAGCTCCTGGCATTTCTCTGGTGCCACCTCACAAGAGCCCCCACCAGAGCCAGGGCAGCTCTGGGCACAGAGGTGTGAGTTGCTCCCTTTGGTCTTGTTCCATCTCACAGTCAGGAACTGCAGGTCCCTCAGACAAAACCCCAACCTTTTAAAAGCAGAAGACCCGAATAATATTGAAATTTGATTTAAAATGTGTATTCAGTAATTCTACATCAGTCAGTGGTCAGTGCTCTAGGAAAGAGTGGAAATGGCATAACCCTGAGAAAACAAGGTTATCATATACTGTACATTAATCAGACTACATACTGGAACTGGACAATTAACTGTATGCTAACTAGAGTATTCATCAGGGGGAGGAAGTTGTGGGGGACTTCTCGCCCCATCTTCAGAAGTTTCTGAATGGAACTTTTCTGAAGCAGAGGCTTTAAGTAGGAGTCCAACAGCCCAGCTCTGCGGGAGGCGCCCACCCACCCCAAAACCCCAGCAATTCCACCCACTGAGCTGTCTGCTCCATCCACCCCAAAGCACAGTCCTGGGGCGGTCATATTTTTAACTGTCAGCATTATCTATTCTTTTGCAGAAAAAAACCCAACCCTAAAACCCTGAAGAATATGAAAAAAATGGAAGATGCAGACCAGGACAACGTGCACGTATAATAACAGCTTATTGTCTCCAATTTAACTAATTCATGCTCTCGAAGTCAAAAGTGATGAGATGGAACAAACTGAAACAATGCCATGAGGATATAAGAATAGAACAAAATGTCTTGATGTTTTCTGTTTAAAAGAGCCCAAATGGCCTGCTCTTTCTAATCCTGCACTCTAAACAGTAGGCTCATTCCTCCATGAAGGCACCAAAGTCAAATGCAAATTTGCAAATTCTACAAAGTCAATTATGCATCAAAACCTCTGATTTTTCTGGTGAAGTCTACCTCTAAACATTGGAAAAAATTAGGTGTGTTTGTGTTTTAACATAGCCCTTTCCTCTCACAACCAATTATATAAAACAGAATTTACGTGAACACGAGTGACTGCAGGTTTCCTTTACCTTGGCTCACACAAGAAGTCCGTGTTTTCACCCTCTGCTCTCCACACCAGCCACTCCCTGAAGGAAGGGTGGCAGAACATACGTGTTTTGTCGCGCCTTTTGATCAGGAAACACGAGAGGGCCTCCATCCTTTGGCTGAAGTCCTCCCACTGCAGCTCACCACGTATCTGGCCCGCGTTAATAGCCTGGAAGATCTGCTCGTCCGTCATGGGGTGCAGGGACGCCAGCGCCACGTTCAGTATGGGCAGGGCTCGCTCAAAGGCCGAGTTTGTCATGAACTTCATATTGCACTGAAGCAAGTACAGTTCTGACAGAGACACTGGGACAACCTTGTAGCTTGCGCTTTTGATTACTAAGTGACCTTTTTGGAAAAGATCCAGAGTGAGTTTCAAATAGAGGTAAGATCCCAGGCTCCTCATGATCAGGTGGTTACTCACTTTCCCAATAATAGCTGCATCGGCTTTTCCATTTAAAGATATGTTGTTTATGATTTCCTGGCTGTTATTAATTCTGTACTGAATATAAGCGTTCAAGTCATCATGAATTTCTTTGTTGTCTGGAAAATTGTCCAGGGATATTGCGATAAAGGGCAGTGAACTTACTACTTCCTATGAGGGGGAGAGGGGGGAAAAAAAGAAAGAAAACACAAAACACAGGCATTACATTATTCCAGCGCTGAAAACTCAACAACGCATCCTTGCTACATTGCCCTGCCGGGATGAGTACCGGACAGATTAAAAAGAAATTCAGTATCTCTGCAATGGCTTTGCAGATATTGTTCCCTGATAACAAGTAGACCAGTATTTCTACATTTCATCATTCTTCATAGGAAGGTCTCAAATATTTTACTGACCAAGCTCAGCAAGGCAATCGAAGGGGATGAGCTACAGAAACGCAGAAAACCAGAAATTCTGTATGGTCTCATTTAAACACTCTCTGGATTCCTGCAAGCATCTCATAGCTGCTTAATTCTTACAAAATGCTTTAACCACATGTTTTGATGCTGTTTTTTTTCAGGGCTGCAAACAGATGATGAGATGCAGAAAGATCAATGGTAATAAGGCCAGAAAGCAATCTCATCAACATAGATAGTGGAATTGTGGCTTATCCCTTCCTAAAAAGGGAAAATCCAGAGCTTAATACAAGCAGAAATACACTACAACAAGTAAACATTGAATGGAAAAAAATCTCTTTTTTTCCCTTCGAAAGCCAGGAAACACCCTGATTTCACCACTCCTTGTATTATCAATCCTACAAGCATACTCAAGCAAGTGATTCAAAACCAAAAAGGCCTCCAATATCACACTTGTGCACAGTAAAGGAACATGCAACAACAAGAAAGGAAGGGAGGAAAAAAACCCAAGAGACTTTATTTCTAGTTCCTCCAAAACCAGTATTTTTCATTATAATGCATCTGCATTGATACAAAAGAACACTTAAGTCTTTGAGAGTAAGAAAAAATTGAAAGGTGTTTTTACCTGAAAGTTAGTTCTTACAGTCACAATGAGCTTCAGCCAGGTAGGAAACTTACAGATTACGTTTGTGAGAAACACAGAAAGTGTGTCCCCATAATCAGGTTTATGAAATTCAGCATCATTTAAACCATCAATCAAAATGATGTAATCTTCCTCAGGAATTTTCCGCTCTGAAATGTGAAAATAAAAAAGGAAAGGATGAATACAAATTCTCCTATTAAGTGACACATTTTTATCCCCAAATTTTGTTGACAGCCACCAAAATTCAAGAACTGCCAACCAGTTTTCACAGGAAAGCCACACGCTCTGCTCACGCAGGGAAATCTGCCCCGTCTGGCCACAGACTGGGGACCTGCTCCCTCTGCTGTGAAGAGAGCTGCTTCCACGGAGCAGTTTGATAAGAGTTTGCTGGGGTTTTTTATTAAGAAAATCATGTTGTTACACGCTTTCTTAGAAAATTGCCATATCAATTTTAAAAGCAAGCAAAAACCACATCCACTTTGCAGGTGTTCAGGCACAGAAAATTACAAAACCAAGAAGTGTGACAAAATGCAAAATCATCTGGAAACAAAATCCTTTAATGCAAATACGCTAGCCTTCACTTCAAGCTACGAAGTCATCCTTGAATTTTCTGGCAAAAAAGTAAATTTAAAGTTTCCATGATCTTTAGTAAGTTTCATAGAATTTTATTTTAAAACATGAAAGAGCTGTTCTATTAAGGAATCCCTTTCTGCAGGAATGTTCTGATTTATTTATTTCTCTTAGAGCATTACAATACATATTGTTAGATTCTTTTTCCACTTTTTATGCAGTTTAGACTCACTTTCCGCACTGCTTCCTGCTTAACCTACCTTTCCTGAGGCTCAAAAGTGGTTCCAACACTCCCCTTTTAAAAGCTGCTGCTGGATCCTGGACACATGACCGCAGGCTAAGCATGCTCTGCAGGTGAGGCTCTTTAATCAGAAGATCTCTGTATGCTGTTAATTGATTTGAACGACAAAGTAAAGCTGCAATACTGTGCACAAATTCTGGGACAAGACACGTGTATGTGTTGTCAGCTTGACAGTAATGATAAGCAACGACCTGGAGAATTGAAAAAAAGAAGTGTTATCCCTTCAGTATTTAAGAGGTCACTAGTTAGTCCAATTATGATAAAGTGTTACTGAGGTTCTCTTTCAACTACTAAATATGTTCCAGCGTTAGAATAATTACTGAGCTCTGCAGCTGGTCTCGGATGGCCTGTGTCAGATACAGAAAGGAAGACAATTAAATAGATTCTGACCTTGTAGGGCACCCAAAAGAGGAAGAGAAATAAAAACAGCAGGTTCTGGCAGGAAAACGTAGTAACCTGAGTTCATGCCATTGGGACACAGTGGGTAAACAGGTAAGTAACTTAAGAAGCACAAGAAAAACAACTTCAGGCTGGGACTAGCAAGGTATTAGCTATAATTAACAACATTACGGTGTCACACACTAATAACCCAAGGAGTGATTTGATCACCATCAGGCAAAAGCAGATGACTGAGGGCTATGACAGACATCCCCACACAGCAAACAGAGAAAGAGGGCAACTGGCTTTATTCTGATTGTTGCAGAGGTGTGTATTACTTAAAAATAAAACATAACATAGCCATTATTTCTTTGGAAAAAAATCAAACCAAAAGGAAAGCATGGTGTTCACAGTAAAGACAGTTATTACTTCAGTGGCTTTCGTAACATTTCATAAAATTGTTTCCAAGTAACACACATCACCTTAAAGACTGCAACAATAACCCCATGTTCTCCTCACAACTATTTCCATAAAGTACACAGCTCAGACGTTAATTATATTGACTACCTAGGCAAAAGATAAAACACTTAAAATAATCTAATGCAAAAAGAACTTCTAATTGCTTACTTCAGATTCTCAAGAATATGGAAAATAGAAAGATTACATTTAGACTCAACTGGTATCATAAAATTATAGATGGATTATACACAAATCAAACATTTTATCCTTTTTTTTTTTCCTGGAATTTTACTTTAGGAAGGTACAGTGAGCATCTACCCATAGAGAACACATGGCCACTTTTGCAAGTAAAGGACCCCAACCTTGCATACACACATAGAACAGATGTGAAATTTTTAATGTAATTCTTTCAGACCAAGCACAACTCAAGTAATAACTTGAAAGGCAGAGAAGCTACGTAGTTGGTTTCACCGGCCATGAATCCCACAAATCCACAGTTACTGCCTGTCCTCCTGCCAGTGCTGACTGGGACACCCAGTCTCCCGTCTTCCCCAGGTCAGGGGTTTGCTAACACACTGAAAAATGATTATTAACTGAAAACTCACCTTTGAAGCAAGGCGCTTCACAGAATCCCCTGCTTGATTTGGGTATTCAGGACTACCAGGACAAGTCAGTGTGTTGGTCTTCATTGTACTGGTACCACTTGTCAGAGGAGCAGATGGGGGCAACTGGCTTAAGGGAATCTCCAGACAGGAGTCACCACCTATTTTTAAAAGACAACAAATACAAGAAAGACCAAGTTTGCTGACGACAGATTTTTTTAATAGGAAAACATCACAGAATATCTTTACTGCTATAGTAAAAATTAAAACTGAACAATAGCATTAAAAGAAGCCCGCAATCAGTCTGATATATACACATATTTGCAACTTTATAATTTTAAAACAATTTAACTGACTTTTTGATCAAAACTATAGAATTACTGAAAGCAAAACCATGCTGATGTGAAGAGTTTCCCTACAAAAATTATATATGCGATGACTCATTTAAACTAATAGTTATTATATGACAGAACTCTTGGGAAATATAAACAATTTATCATCATTATTATTATTAATAATAATAATATTCTTATTTGAAGTGTCAGCAGGGGAAGCAGCAGTAAGGACAGTCACACCACCCTTCCAGTTAATGCAGGCACTGGGTGGGTGAGGTGACTGAATCTGATGGGGTTTCCACAGCTTTACTCCTGCCTCTACCACCGTTCCGAGGGCCAGGCGCGGTGCTGGGAAGCGTGAGGTGCACAGCTGGGAGGAAACACATCACCTCCCTCTTTCCAAACTAACAGGGAGCACAAGCCATGAGAACAGCCCTGCCAGAGCCCAGGGTACACGCTGCCTGACAGAGGAAGAGATTCTGCACAGTTTCTCCATTTTATGTCTTTTTTAATGGGCTGAGCCCACCAACATTGAGTGAAAGGGATCTATCAAAGCACACCATTTTAACAGTTTCTTTTTCCCACCAGAGGAAACGAGTGTTTCCCAAGGAGCTGATGAACACCAACGACCTTAAGCCAGAAAAGCAAACAACACTCTGACTCTTGAGAATCCCAGCACAAAACCTCAAACAGCGACTCAGAAAAGGAACGCACCTTTGGGGGATGAATTAGGGCTATTTGAAGCTATTTGCCTCATGCGGCTTCCATGGCAGCTAAGTGCCACCAGCCGGGAAATGATCGCAGTCTTCCCAAACCCCACGTTCCCCGTGAGGACTGCTCCCCTGTTCTCAGCTGGGTCAGGATTCTGCAGTTTTTCCTCAATGGCCTGAAACAGCCATTCTCGCCCAACAAACACCGAGTCTGTGGTTATACTGGGCACCTCGAACAGCAGCGGCTTCAGCAGAATGTCTTGAGGCTTGTAGGGGACGAAGCGGCCTGAGAAGAGGTGGCAGGGAGAAAAGTCTATTAGAAGAAACCCATGCAATAAATGCAGTAAACCAGCACTGTTTCAGAAGAACATTTCACTCAGTAACCTTGTTAATAGCGTTCATAATCAGACTTCTTAGAGCTCTCATCATGAAAACAATTAAAACTATTTTGCTCAGTTCTGGTCACCTCCACAACTCCTGTGTGAATTAAATTCTAGAGAAGAGAAGCTACAAGTATAATTTGAGGAATTTTTCACAATTGAACTTGAGCTAATAAGTTGCAGAATCCAAAAGTTTTCTTGAAAATGCATTAATAATTCTACAAATGGGGAAGTGCCAAATATTTTTCAGTTTAGGGTGAACTATGCAGCTGAGCATCTCAGTGTCAGGTCCTCAGATCCACAAAGACTTGTACAGAGAAACAGAAAATGTACAGAAAAATAAATACGGTTTTCTGTTTTTAAAAAACCTGTATTTTCAAAGTGATGTAAAAAAAAAAAAACCTGAAATATTACTACCCTGTTTTTCTGTACTTTTGAAGCCACAAGAACAGAAATCACACACCACAGCTGAAAGCGTAGTCATGTTTGATTAATTCATACATTTGGCAAACACCTAGTAAGACTTATAGAGAAAAGAAGAGTTTAGCTTTGGTTGCATAAAATACATTAAAATTTACAGAAACACTAACGTTCACTAATATAATGCTCTGAGGATTCATTAACCAAATCTGATGTTCTGCAAAGGCTGTCCCAGACCCAGGGCTGCTGCTCGAGGCAGAGACCTCCCACGCAGCACAAATCCTTGGTAAGTGACCCACCCCACGCGTGGGCTGTTGTCACTGCACACTCAGATTTCGTCTCGGTAACTTTGACTTCTCTCTTGGTAGTTCTGAATCGTTGTTACATCCTTTGTGCAGCAGGTGACAGAGTGAACCTTGCCATTGAGCTTTGTTAAGTCACACTTTCACAACATCAGATTTCAATAAAACCACTTTTGCTGATACCTTTCACAGTGGTTCGAGCGATCTGCTAATTGTTAAATTAACAGAGCCTGCAGATGACTGTGCTAGTTAAGAGGAGAAAACAAAAACCTGCATACATCACTTGCATTTAACATAAACCTGTTATTTTCAGACTCAAAGACCAGAGATATCGAAGTATGTATTAGTTATAAATAAGTCTAATGGTATTTGATCAGTTTCCTTCCTAAAACAGAATTCTAATCACAGCACCTTGAAGATTTTCAATTCAGCATAGTATTTCTTATGTTGCAGTACACTCTCATCTGAATGTCACAGGATAAAATCTGGCAGAAAGGAAAACACCCAGCACAGTTCCTGAACACTGGTATTGTACACCTTCCCTTTGGAGACTGCCCTGACCCACACTGCGCCGGGTAAGCGCACACTCGGATAAAAACCACACTCCTGGCTTATCAAAAGCCACACGTGCCATTTCTAAACCACAGCATTCTGCAGGAAAAAGTGTAAGCAAGCACCTTATTTCCAGACATGTTGAGTGATCTGTCAGGAGCACTCTCTTACATACCACCCTGCGGGACAGGGGTGTTTACCAAGCTCTCAGACCCCCCAGAGATGCAGATGTGCACATCTGTACCTTTGCTCTCCTGCGGCACCCTCCCGCCGGCGGTGTTGTGCCACGGCAAGCGAATTGAAGTGCGTAACGGAGCGTTTCGCTGTCCATCCAAGTAACTCAGATCTTCCAATTTGGTTGAACTTGTTGCTACAGTATTAAAGGATAGAAGCTTATTTTTCTCTCAGCATAAGTTACAAATAACATTATTATTTATTACAGTTCTTTCCTAAACACAGTACTTACAGATAAGCTGTTCTAGACAATGCCAGTGGTTGAAGTCATTCAGGTTATAACATTTACAAAATGTTTTCCAATCAAATTGACTAAAGATTTAGTTGGATTTTTCCCCTTTCAGGTGGCCCTCATGTCAGCCTTAACTTCCTCAAGGGGTCAACAGTTCTCATGTTCATACAGTTTCCTTTTTTACTATGAGAACAACCAGATCAGTGCCGTCAGAAGCGTTAGGAACAGGTTCAGAGATTAGCTGCCAAGTACACCAACTGTGAGGAAATATTTACATCCTTTTTTTATCCGATACCACAGAATTCTGGATAACGTTCTTTCTTTTCTTCAATTTTTAAACTAAACTGATAGCTATACAGAAGAAGAGCTGAAAATCCAGAGAACATATTTGCCAAGTTATATCAGGAATATATATTTTTTCACCAAAAATAAACCAAATGAATATTCGCATTAAACAAAGCAGTTCTCAAACTGATATAAAATCCAAAATCTTCCATCTGTTGGAAGGACGACACAGCAGGGCATGAGCAATTCAGATTTCTGGAGTGCACTGACAATAGGCCACGGGGAAGCCAGAAAGGAAAGATGCTCTGCTGGACCTGATACAAAACAGGAAGATATGAAAGCTGGGCAGTCTTGGCTGCAGTGACCACAGGCTGGTGGAGTTCAGGATCCTAACACGAGAGACCAGATCAAAAAGCAGATTTCAGGAGCACAGACTTTAACCTCCCCGGAGTCCTACTTGGAAGAATCCCATGGCACATAGTCCTGGAGAGAAGGATCCAAAAGAGCTGGTTGGCACTCAAGGATAATATCCTGCAAGCTCAAGAAAGGGCCATCCTGACAAGTAGGAAATAAAGCAACTATGGCAGGAAGTCTCATGGATAAGCACAGAGCTCTTAACTGAACACAGGCTGGATGGGGCTTTGAGCAACCTGATCTAATGAAAGATGTCCCTGTCCACAGCAGTGATGGAAGTAGGTGATCTTTGAAGGTCCCTTCCCACCCGAACTCTTCTGTGATTCTATGATACTATAAGATGATGACTGGCTGGGTGAATGAGGGGAGAGCTGGGGATGTTCTCTACCTTGGCTTTAGAAAGGCTCTGACACTGTCTCCCATGACATAGTCATGGACAAGTTGATGAAGTACAGGTGATGGATGTGCACAGGCAGGTGGACCCAAAATTGGCTGAATGGGTAGCCCAGAGGGCTGTGATCACACAGTCCAGCTGTGTGAAGGCAACTGACCAGTGGTGTACTCCAGCAGTCAACACTGGGTCCAAAACTATTTAACTTCTTCATTAATGACCTACATGATGGGACAGAGGGCAATCCCACCAAGTCTGCAGATGCACAAAACCAGGAGGAATGGCGGATGTGTGCAATGATTGTGCTGGCATTCTGATGGACCTCGACAGGCTGGAGAACTGGGCTGAGTGGAATCTCATAAAGTTCAACCAAAGGAAATGCAAAGTCCTCCAGCTGAGAAGGGGTAACCCCAGGCATCACTACCCAACTGGAGGCTGACAGGTTGGAAAGCAGCCTTGCAGAGAAGGACCAGGGTGGTAAAGAAGCTGACCATAGACAGCTATGCACTCTTGTGGCAAAGGCAGCCAACAGCACCCTTGGGCTGCATTAGGAAGAGTGTTTCCAGCAGGTTCAAGGAGGAAATCCTCCCCCTCAGCACTGGTGAGACTTCATGTGGAGTATGGTGTCCAGTTCTGGGCTCCCCAGTACAAGAGAGATGCAGATGTACTCAGCTTTCACTGAACTCTTCCCAGGGAAGTGACCTGGGAGGTCAAAACTACAGTTTCAAGTTGTAAGATGTGAATGGGGTTTGCAGTGGGATGTTCAGAGTCAAGGTACTAAGACAGCAGAAGTCCAGCTTTAAAATTAAAGTCCAGTCCAAGTTTACAGCAATGAAAGAAATCCTGAATGCAATGGATCAACACTAAAGCAATTAAATGAAATCACTAAAGACTAGAAAAAGAGCTAGAGTTGAAAAAAAAACCAAACCAATGCTCCTGTGGGTGTCGCTTTAAAAATAAGAGAGGCTGGGCAGAATTCCTGTCCATCAACTTGGGAGGGAGGTCTTGGGTTTGAACTGAGTTTGTTCAGCTTTGACCAGAGACTGAGAGAACAGCAGCTTATCCTTACTCAACAGGAGGCCACAATCGGACAGGGTGAAAGGCGATGAACACAGGTTGAAACATGGGAAATTCACACTAGATATAAAGGAAAAATATCACTAAGGATACCCAAACACGCTGCCCAGAGACATGGGGGAATATTCATCCTTGGAGTTACTCAATACTCAACTGAACAAGGCCCTGAGAGCAAACTGTTCTAACTGGATGTGCTTCCAGTGCGATGGTGGACCAGAAACGTCTGGGGGCCTCTTACAGCCTAAATTAGTCCACGCTTTTTTAACACTCCGAAAACTCAGCTCATCTATTCAGTTTAGGACTTACACTTTTTTCTTTTTGTCCCATAAAAATACTTTCATACTAACAACATAACTTCAACAGAAATCTCCTGTCATTAAGAGCATCTTTTTTTCTACCTCAGGACTTTACCTGCAACAGAGTTTGGACGAGGCATTATTAAAGAGCCAGAACTTTGAGTGTAAGGAACAGGACCCTCTCCTGCTGGCACTTCTTTTGGCAAATTCTCAGCAGTTCCAACAGCTTCCTCTTCTGCAACCGGTGAACAATTATCTGTTCTTCGATCATGACTAATCCCTTGGTGTTTTCCAGCTCTGACACTCCCATCCTTGCTCCATTCCAAACTGGACCCACTGCGATCATCATTTTCTGATGAACTCGTTATAGTTGCTGAAAAAAAGAGGGAAAAAGAGGAAAAAACCCAACTTAAGTACATATCAGAGGAAAATGGCGCCTATGGACACTACAGAAATATATACTGGTTTTTCTGTTTAATAGTGAAATTACTCTGTTTCATTTACAATGTTTTCAGTGCCTACATTAAAGTCTCACAAAATAACTGAACAACAAGTATTTATTCAAGGTTAAGCCAACACTCAATGCATTTTGAACACTTGAAAGTTCACCCAAACCAACGGGAACAGCATACCTACAAGACAGAAAACTTAGTCACTCAAAACTATCTTGGAAAAAAGTTAGGTCTAGACTACAAGTCAAATAAATTAACTAATGGGGGAAATAAAACATGAAGAAAAAAAAAGAAGCTTTGCAAGTCAGAAAAAAGTAGGTTTTTTTCTGTTTTGGTTTGGGTTTAGGGGATTTTTGTTTGTTTGTTTCATTTTTTCAGTAGGAGAGAAAACTTACCAACTTAACTTCAAGTAAGGTTCAAGGTTACTTCTGGGGTTCTTACCTTGACCCAGCTTCTAAGAAAAAGTATTTCGTTATAACTGCTGGTTTATACATGAATATATGCAACAGAGCAAAATACAAAATAGGATGAAAGGGCATCAGGATTTAATTAAAAAAAAAAAAAAAAAAATCAGTGCCAGTTCAAATAATAGTATCCATGTGAACTGTGGGTCCTTTCCAGGCTAAAATTTTAAATATTAAAGGTATATAGATATGTGACGATTCTACATTCAACTGACCAAATCATTAAGTAAAACACTGTGGCCTATTAGACCACTGACAAAATGCAGGGACTGCTCCTTAGATCCCTGGGGCTTGGCTGCTCAGAGGCAGCACCAACTGCTCCTCTTTCCCATCAACTGCTCCGCAGCCTCAGCCTTGCAGGGTGATGAGGGACTCGTAGAACTTTGCATTCCTCCAGCTTAGCCTCACATTCACAAGAAACTTAAGATCTGATGCTAAAATTTAAGAGCTTATATTTTAAGAAATACCATTAATATGACATACATTTTAGAGGCAGTAGAAGAAAAAGCTTTTCAGGCCTTCCATTCACCTTTGCACACAGCTTAGATTGCACTTCCCTAAGACAAACTTATTTCATTTTCATGTAAAAAAATCTAGCTCCTTCTAAAGCAGAAAATATTTTAAAATATGATTCCTCCTGGAGTGAAATGTAACATCAGGAAACTTCACTGCTCAAGATTTCCATACTGGAACAGTGGCAAATATCCAGAAAAGCTTACATTTTGGCCAGTAGCCCAGTCTTTTCTGCCACTTAGCTCATTGCTGAAGATTAAAACCTGCCTCCACTACTGTTATGTCAAACTCAACAGAAGCAAAGAAGAATTCAACTACAGCAGTAAAACGTTAGAAAACTAAAAGAAACGTGATCCATAAGTAAAAAAAAGAGGGAAAGGGAAAAAAGACAGATTTCCCATCAGAGTCTGCTGGCCCAGAAAACATGGTGGGAGTTAAACACAATGGGAGCCCGCATCAGTAGCAGGAAAGAGCAAGCTATTTTCATGGTTGGATGAACTCTGTCAAAGACATTAGAAAACATACACTTGTAAACATAATTTAAAATGCACATTTACTACTAATAACAAATTTCAATGCACAGGCATATTTGTATTCGAAAAAGAAAACCACAGTCATTTATCAGAGAGGTGCCTCTTATTTCCCCTCTTGGTTTCCTGCCTTTACAGATGTGAGGTTGCTGCCAGGGGGTGTTCAAACTCTTAAAAACGAACAAACGCAAAGGTGTAGATCTCCAAACAGCGAAGTATTCCAAACCAACATGACTCCTCTTTTTACAAAAGGGAAACACCACTTTAAAAAGCCTTAAAGAAGGTCCCAGATTTTAAGAAACATGCCTACACAGAAGTGCCCAACTGAGCTAGTCAAAGCTTAAGCATAGGTGCATTTATGAAGGTAGAAGTATCTTTGTACCCATGTCCTACCTGGAGAGCCCTAAAAAACGTTGTAAACAAGGAAATGACTATGGCATACTGACATAAATATTCTTCACAAAAGGTATTACTTTCTTCTAGTCATACATCTACTGTAGTCTGTTCTCAAGTTAGGCAATGACTGAAATCTGTGAACCCAAGTGCAAGAATCCTGATATACCCTTTTTTATATCAAAATGTTAATGCTATCTCAGAACTAGATCTTACCCAAAATTGACCATGGACACTGGCTATCATCAATCTATTATGGAACTTTTAATTTTCTAAAACTGAATTACGTGTTATACAAATGAGTCTTTTGACCCATGGTAAACATCTCTTTTAGGGTAACTGATCAGTAAAAATAATATTGTGTTGTAACTTATGACTATTAATTACTGCACTTTATAGTAAAATAAAGTCAGAGTAAAGTGTTATCAACTGCATTATGAAACCATGTATTATTACTACTTCTTAGCAAGTATGATCACCATGGTAGCATCCATAACAGCAGGGAGACACTTTCACCTGGAATTCCTTCTTATAAACAAAAGTTGTAAATAAAAAAGTATTAAATTTACAGTCAAGGCAATGAGGCGTCTGAAGTTCACATCATCAAATCTAGGCATTTAAGATTTAGAATTGCTTCCCTTTTTCAGCCCCCCTAAATTTAGTCCATCAGCTAGACTTCAAGAAAATGGAAAGCTCACTGTTGTATATTGAGAAAGCATCAGCTATGGTGGCATTTTGTGCTTTGGTTTTTGTTGGTAAGCATAACAGCTGTTATAAAATAAATTTTAAAAGGGATCAATCACTTAAGGAGTCAGCATTTGAAAAAAATATTGACTAAAGCAATAAAGTAGAATAAACCTTCCTACAACAGTTTATAACAGCATGAAAAATATGGGTTTTACATCTTATTCTGATTTTCCAGAAAATAATATTAAAGCAGCTACCTGGGTGTCTACAAGGTATTAGAACTGCACCAGAAAAACAAAAGAGAAACGCACACCTAAAACCAGCAGCTGTTACAGCCAAAGAATAGGATTTCAACCTTTTGATTGCAAGGGATTTGGAAGGGGATCCATGGACAGCATACAACTGAACACAATGTCACGAAGCAGCTATTCAGACTTGGACTGTTAAGAGAATTTCCTCTTGATTGCACTGCTAATTAAGACACTTACCTATAATGCCACTGTCCTTGCTCTCCAGGGTGGAGCTGGGGCTGCTGATGGTCCCACAGGGACTGCCTTTGTTGGGTGCTGCTTTTCCAGCGGAGCTGTTGAGGGTGGAGCAGGGGCTGTCGGTGCTGGGGGACGTGGTGCTGCTGGTCAGGGTGGAACAGGGGCTCACGCCTTGGCTGGCCACTGCGCACTGCATTGGGAACAAGCACCAACGCTTACTGCACGGTGGGGCACGAGGCTGCCCTGAAAACTAGAAACTTCGAAGTAAAGCACAACAAGAACGAAGCAAAGAGCCCGTTTTTCAAGCAAAAACGTCAAGAAGCAGAAGGTTTATCTTGATGGGGAACCTTAATGAGATATTTTCAGATTACTCTTAAAAAGCGACTTCTGAAGGAAAAAGAGAATTTCACAGTTCAGTGGAAGAGCTGCAGTGAGGCAGATTTCTTCTCTATTAAACATTTTACTGGATACTCTTCCCCTCCATCCCCAGTATTTATTCTTTGGTTTACAAACACTAGAACTGCAGTCTTACGCACCATCAGTGAAACCCAAACCAATGCACTAAGATTTATGAGGCCTGGGACTAAAAGTAGAGAGAGGAAGGGGAAGACAGAGAGGCTGGCAGTGGCTGTGCAGTTCTGGTTAGCACAGGAGTTCATATGGACTGTAGCTGATTGTTCTCTCCAGTTCCTCTACCCACCAATGACAGACTGTCAGGAAAGAACAAACACATATGCCCCCAAAGCATCCTCCTATTTTAACAAGCCACCATCTTCCAGTCTCATAAATCACTGAAATAGAATAGAAGGGAAAAAAAACGTTTGTCCTAAATGCTAAAATAAGGCAGAGAGAACCCTAGAAGCTACTCACATTCATAGTCAATTTAACTTCCAGAAATTATGTCTACCTTTTTTTTTTTTAAGGATGCAAGATCAACTTATAATTCCAAACAAAAAAGAACACTTGTTATAATTAATTTACAGTTCTACTACCATATGTCTATTAAAATGGATTGTATTTTGGCAAGTATCAAGTAACTACAACTAGCAAATAGAAGAAATAACATTAGTCCTCTCAGAAATAGGATGAACATTAAATACATTATTTTTCATTATCCTACCATGACTTCATTTTTCTCTTCTATATGAGCAGAAGTTGAGATCCCTTCTCCCAGCAAAAATCCCAATCTTGTCATCAGTTCTTGTGCTGCAGGAGAACAACTTGAGTCCTTATCAGGCTTTGCTTTGGAGTGGGGGAAAAAAGTTGATGAGGATTAGTGTCTTACATTAGGAAACTGTTACAAGAGGTAGAAAAAGTACAATCAAACATAAACACCAGTCCTTCCGTCAACAAAATATCTAACAGAGAAGTTAATGCCATTTAAACTTCCTGTCCATGAGACTTTAAATTGTTGGTGGGTCTGGGATCCTCCACATATCTGCACAAATTCAAGGGAGAGAAAGCCCACCCTACCAGTAGAAATAGACATGGTGCAGTGCAACCAGCTCATCACTGGACTGATGATCGACGTGAGTGTTCTCCTGACAGCAGCATTAAACCCAACGCTACCACAGCTCAGTGTCAGACTGAAATTCTACCCCAGTACCTTTTTATAAAGTTGTCTGTAATGTTAAAACCATGAAAAGTAGAGGTTACCAAGGCAGATGTTTCGTAATCTCACAGATAACACTACAACCAACACCATACATTTTTGTTGTGCTTGTTATGCGAAGGATGTGACGCCAGCTCTAAATGTCCCAGCTTTCTGGCTGCAAAAATATTTAATTTGATCAGTAGAGAACTTTAAAATGTCTTCTGGTGTCCAACAGATAGAATGAGACAAAGTTCAAAAGGGGGCAACCTCCACCAAAGCCAGCCCGCCCTGGGCTGCCTGGGGAACGCAGCGGGGGGCTGGGGTGTCTCCCAGGCTGAACTGGGGCCTCTCCCAGGCTGAACTGGGGTGTCTCCCAGGCCGAACTGCCCCTTTCCTTTGGTCTTTCCTTCACGGCTTCAATAAGGCAAACGAGCGTCAGGACAGGATCCGCTCTTCACTCTAACACCAGACACAGCTGACATTCAGTGGCATTTGCAATAAACAGCACATTTTTCCCCAGGCTGCAGATTGTAAGAAAACCATAGAAAACAATGATTTTGACTGAAGAGCTTGACCAGTAACCATTATTTCAAGGACATTTCCATTTTATGAGTGACATAAAACCCATGGTTTGCAGACATAAGTAGCTCACTAGTCAAACATTCTGCTTTGTTTCACTCCAGCTCGATGCCTACTTGAACGCACATATCTCTTAATTTTGTGGACAGCTTAAGGTTTTACTCTGGAAGATTGAATTATCTGACTCTCACTTAACCCCAAAAGGAGGAAGCTGTGAAATGGTGTCATTTTTGAAAACAGATGACAAAAATTTTTGTATCTCAGAATATTTTGCAAATTGACAGGTCTTAGAATATTTGACTGGAAAATGCAATTTCTCTGTAAAATTGTCATTTTGAGGACTACAATTAGTCTTTAAAATCACAATCCTGGAAATTACAGAGCTCATTAAATCAACATCTTCATTCTCCTATCAAAGTTCCAAAAGCCTGTTGTTGTTAAATTTCAATCTTTGAGGAGTCTGGGGAATCGTCAGGCACAGCAACAGAGAGAAAAGGCAAGAGTCTCAGGCATTCAACCTGGCAGCCACTGCTGTACCCTTAACCACCAGCGCTCAGTTCTGGCCCTCAGCACAGCTCTGAGGAGGGGGATCACCCTGAGATGGTCACCTCTAGGTTAGGGGACAAGGACCATGTGCTCTCCCCACTGGACATAATGCTTTAACGCCGGCACTAAGAGGGCTGTGAAGGCCGGGACACAGCAGGGACCAGCATAACTCAAACAGGGCGTACAGAAGAAGATGGTGACAACAATTACACTGAGTTCTACTTTCACTAGTAAGTATCCAAAATAAGGAACTTTTCAAAAAAAGAAAATATTGGCTTTTAAAACTGTAGGTTGATTTAAAATCAAAGCAAAAGGAAAAAAAAATATCGTTCAGTTGGAATCTCATAAGTTACATGCAATTACTTTAATGAGGCCAGTTAAACAGAAAACTTAATCTAAAAATGCAAGGCACATGGAATGCATGTTACAGTGCACAGTCAGTTACCCACACAGGGGTCACTTTGCTCTGACCATGATATTCACTGTCAAAGGCGTTCTGTGTTATGCACTACGCAAATTTAATGGACACAAAACTTTCTGAGAATACCAATTAACTCTGAGGAGGTAGCTTTTCCCAGCTCTGTCGACACAGGAGTCTAACGTTACTGCCTTCTTATTTAGCAAGCTTTTTACAAAAATTCTAAAATGCAGTATTGTATCCAGTGCAGAGCTACATGCTTGGAATCAATTTATGTTAAAAACAAGTTCAGAGAAGGTCTTTGGCATACGTAGCGAGCACCACCACCCGGACATCGCTTTGCCTGCCATACATACGCAGCTCCAAGGACTGAGAGTTACAAAGATCACAAAAGTACAATGACAAGCATCTCCTCCTTACCACAGGCACGTTAAACCTGCAAAAGTCTCACCAATAAAGAATCAGATTTGCGTATTTTGCAGGCTCCTTCATATCATCTGTCTGAAACGAACAACAGCAGCTGTTCTCCAAAGGAAGCACCACTGAACAGGCTCTTACCATTGGGACCGGGCTCTCCCTGCTCGCATCCTTTCCTCAGGGGCAGAGCTGCCTCTCCTGGCACTCTGGGACTTTCCACGTACTTGGGCTTCCTGGTGGGACCTGCAAGGGGAACAAGCCAAGTGTATCTCACTTTTTCCTGATGGACCACGAGTCTCACATGTACAATGCCTATCCTCTGCGAGGCAAAACAAAGTAGAGCAATTATTTCTTACATACTGGTCTTTACAGTAGCAGCTGTGTGAGTGGCTGCATTTCCACCCCTGGGAGAAAGAAACACTCTCTTTGGGCTTTTTGGAATGCAAAGCCTACTGGAAAACAAACCCAATCTGCTTGCTGTGATGAGCCTGAACAGCTTTCCTGTATGTGTAAAGAGTGGGTCTTTTTAATGTTCAAACTCTAACAACTTTCAATGGGCCTCCTCCATTCAGAGCTTTATTTTCCATTATAACAGGGAGATAATTTTGTTATCAGCATCTTTGAAGCCAGGAGAAAAATACTACAGGCAGACAGCTTGCAACATCGACATGCTAAATAATTCAAACCCAAGAAGCTTTATATTACAGTGTACTTTCTCCAAATACTAACACATGCCCTGATCATAAGGAAGGGTGAAGGTGAGTTCAAAAAACAGAAGAAAACATCAATGGCTACTAAGGGTCCTGGTTTCATTAAACAGCAGTATTCCCAGATCACATGCATACTAGGTTCAAACGTTCCACCTGCAGTAAGAATTGTGCACTCACACACACACTTTCAAAATCCGGATTGATTCACTCTTTACTCTCCCTTTGGCTCCACGCTCCGGTTTCAGGCTGCTTATGACCCTGCTTTTTGCTAAACCCGGCTTGGCAGCAGCCACGGAAAACGTTAGGGACACCACTTGTCTGACAGAGGGGGAAGGATGCTGCCTTCCGAGGGTTTCCCAGAAAAACTGGTACTATGGAATCAGCACCCCCCGCTCACACCCCCCCGGGGGTGACACTGATCCCAGCGCAGGGACTGGGGCGCTGGCAGCCGGGCACAGCCTGGGCCAGAACTGACACCCTGCCTGCTCCTCCACATCCTGCACAACACGGCAACAGAACTTTGTATCAGGCAAAAGTCAGGCATTTGCTACACTCAGCTTTGGAAAAGCATGCACAGGGAAAGGTGCAAAGGGTTCTAAAATCACAGTTAGCAGCCCTTCCATCCCTCATGCTTCCAGAATAACACATCAGGCGGTGTTCCACTAAGAAAGCACACATTTCCAAAAAGAATGAAAAAAGATTTCAGATGAGCATTCTTTTACGTAGGAACTATAATACCATGAGTGAAGTACCAGACCGAAAAGCTGCTCCTACAAATATAACCTCATCAGTTAAAAGATTTATATAACAACCTCAGTTCTCTCATTTCCTAAGGAACCCAAGCTAAAAAACCAGAGAAAGGGGCCCAGCTCTCAAAGCTATTAAGCAAGATCTGTCCTTCCCAGAAATGTTCAAACTTACCAAGTAGAAGCATAAGTCTCCTGACACAGAAGAGTTCCAGTAGATAAATTAAACGCTACTGGTAAATTCCTAAATAACTGTAAATAACTGGGTCTCTGCAGCTGCTTATTTTTTCAGTAGACACAGACACAGCTGCATCCACGGCTGCTCCTGTAGCATTTGACAAGTCATGACTTTAATTAGTTTTACAATGAGATTTCCAGAAAGCAACAAAGGACACAGCTGGCACCTTTCCTCAAGTTAAATATACAAAATCTAACCAGAGTTTTCAAAATAAAAGAGGTTACTGTCCCATTAAACAACAACAACAACAGAGCCTCAATAACAACAAAAAACAAGCTTTAAAATAAAATAGCCTGTAATGTAGGAAGGACATGGCCCTGTCGGAACGGGTCCAGCAGAGGGCCACGAAGATGATCAGAGGGATGGAGCCCCTCTCCTATGAAGACAGACTCAGACCTGGGGTTGTTCAGCCTGGAGAAGAGAAGGCTCCGGGGAGTCCTTATAGCGGCATTTCACTAACAGAATGGAGCTCCAGTATTGATGATAGGGACTCTTTGTCAGGGAGTGCAGTGACAGGACAAAGGGTAATGGTTTTAAGTTGGAAGAGGGGAGATTTAGATTAGACACCAGACAGAAATTCTTTGGTGTGAGGGGGGTGAGAGCCTGGCCCAGGTTGCCCAGAGAAGCTGTGGCTGCCCCATCCCTGGAGGGGTTCAAGGCCAGGCTGGATGGGGCTTGGAGCAACCTGGTGTGGTGGGAGGTGGCCCTGCCCAGGGCAGGGGGTTGGAACTCGGTGATCTTTGAGGTCCCTTCCAACTCTAACCATTCTATAATTCTATGTACTGTACCCAAATCAACAAAACAGGCACAAACTGAGTCTCAGTCCTAGAGGGTAAGCACCCTGCTCAGGGTCCTACACTCACAGTCACACAGGGTCCCATCCTTCCTTTGGGCAGCAGCCCCAGGTGCGACAGAAAGTCTCTGAAAACTACATTGACCTCTTCCTGATTTTCCTGAGTTCTTTAAGGCTGGTGACTGCTTTTGAAGAGAGGTTGCAACTCCCTCCGCTTTGTCCTTCTACTCCAGGGTGACTGAGGGTCCGAGCTGCCACGTCCCGGCCAACACGCTCCATGCCTGGGTACGGCCGGGTCTGAGGGTTGGCGTTATGGGACCTACCTGTTCCCTCAGATTCTGACCTAAAAGTAGGACACGGACTATGGCGATAACCTAATTTCTTAGCTAAGAAATACGGGGTGGGGAATGTAAGTCATATGCATACCTAGGGACTATGAGATAATGACATTCTTGAAACTAAAAGAAGCTTAGTTACCAACTATCACCAGAGGGTGCTCTTCCAACACTATTTCCTAACAGAAGTAAGGGGCATTGGCCCTGCTGGAAGCAGCTAAAAATACATTCCATTGAAACAAAGTCACATTCTTTAAGGAGACAATAGTCCAAATCTGTCATTTGTAAGGAGAATTATAATTAGATGTATCAAAGTTGAACAACAAAAAGCAATCATTCTAAAAGAACCAGAACAACACGTGGCAGTCACGTAAAATCAATCAGAATAGAAGTACCTTCAGGATGTATTTTTAACACCCACATGAAGGAGAGCCCTTGCTGAATTTTCTTCCTCACAAACTGATGTGGAAGTGACTTACAGTACTTGCAAATCTGATACACAACATTGCAGTAACAAGGGAAAAATCCTGGTAAGTTTATTTTCATGCTCCTGAATTAAACCATGGATGTGATAGGGCCCATTTAAAGGTGAGCTGTGCCTGCACAAGGGAAGCTCTTCTCCAGAGGTGTAAGGGGGCTGGACGGGGTCTGATACAAGGTCCATCTGGGACAGTGTTTCACCAGCAGCAACGGGCAGAGAACAACCCACGCCAGGGAAAACACCCCCCCTGCAGCACTTAGCCTGATTTGTGTTCAGTGGTATCGCTTCCCGGGGCAGAAGTGGCCACTTGCTATGGAAGAGTTCTAGATGGATTTTCCTTCCAAGAACAACATATCTCGGGCCTTTCTTTACCAATCTGCACCACCCCCAAGTTAACCCAACACTGCACAAAATAGCCATCGAGCTATCTCCTTTTCCCACTGTCTGTCTTCTAGCCAGAGAAATACTAACCGAACCAATTTAAATAAACTCTCAGAGCCGTTCCCCAGCTCTAGTCATTCCTGCAGCCCTCCGCTAGCTCTTCCCCAGCTGTAGAGTAGATTTTCGAAGTTGGTATCACCAGAGCTACACCGGGGTCTTCCTGAGGCAGACAAACTGCAGATTTACACAATTCTGTAACGATATCTTGTTTTGGTTTAAGATCTATTGCCTTCCTAGTAATTTTTAATGCTTTTTTCCTTTCACTGTTCAAGCATGATGATATGAATAACTTGAGTCAGTGAACATTTACTTCAAGGGCAGCAGCACTATCTTTGATTCACACTTTAAACTCCAACGCCCAATTTTTTGGAACCTTCTTTGTAAATTACTACTTTCATTCTTTTAGTTGACCCTCCTAAATCAGAGCACAATCAGCTATTATCCCTTTAGGAACACGAATACTGGTTTAGTTGCACACCTGGAAGGTTACCAATCCAAGCAATGTTCATTCTAGCTTTGTAGTAGAAGAAACTCAACTTACGGAGATGGGCTTTCCTTTACTGCTCCCCATCCCAGAGCTGTCCTGCTGGCAACCAGTTCCCTGTTCTGTTTCTGCTCTTTTATCCACCTCCTCCTCAATGAGCTATTTCATTAAAGAAGATTTTGACTCCAAATAAACCTGTTGCTTTACTTCTGTCAATAATTTTAGTAATTTAAGATACAGTCTCTCTCTCCCCTCCTTTTATAGTTAGAGTTGAGGACTGAGCTGGGGCCAGACACACTGGTGCTCTTCTCACCCAGAGCGAGCTCCCCCACCCCCTGTGCACGAAATTAGAGCACAGTGTCACCATTAGATGGTGCATCCTTGGTGTCCCAAGGTGCTCTCCTGGCTGTGTCCCCTGCCACCAGGCCTGTCTGCTGGGACAGAACAACGGAACAGCCACAGTGCCACCGTGCTGGTCCGTGCACATCGGGACCCCTCAGGTCAGCCCCGGGCATGGACCCTGCCTGGAGTGGCACTGGGCAACCTATCTATGACTGTGCAATTTTCTAAAAAGATAGGAAATGAAGTATTATCTGAAGTCTAAGCTTCAGAACACTACTTTAACTTTCTGTGCAATCCTTTCTTCTTTCATCCAGGGTATCCTGGAAAATCTTTAACTTGCTACTAAAGCTACTAAAACATAGTGCTTTAAAATCAGTACATTAGTATACTCTCTCTTTTTATTATTCCTGCCACAGGTGCTAGACAAATAATTTGTATTGTCATCTTCCATCAGCTATAGTTTGTTGGAAGTCAAAACAATAGCACAGAATGTTTCCATCAGCATCCCGTCACCCGCTCAGGCATTTGTACAAAATAAGGATACACAAAGGCCAGCGCGTTCACAGCACTTCACCTTCAGAGATCCTTCCTTTGGCTACATACCACAGTGGAACGGCTCTAGAGTCACTGTGAATATGGCTTTTCATTCAAAATCGATCAAGTGCTACACACTTTCTGCCAGAGAAACAGTTATCAGCCTGCACCCTGCGTGTCACTACCCTGAGCCACAGGGGCAGGTGGGTGAGACCCTACCTGTACCCCCAACCCCCTAACGGAAATAGGGTCACATCCTGACCTTCACTTCAGTCCTTGGCAAAAACTGCATTTCCTTCCCTGTTACAAGGACTTCAGCCTCTGTTTTAAAGTTGTTTATCATGCAAATCACTGCAGTAAGAGGCAAAAAACCAAAATACTGTTCTGGGGCTCAAAATTTTTACATCCTGTGGCAGTTCTGTGAGCAACATTTTTCCTTAAATTCTATGTAAATTAACCAAGACATTTCTCAGTGCTGACAAAAATCAAATTTCGACACTTTTTGTTCCTAGACCTTATAAACTTTACAGCAAAGAGCCTCAAACCCGCTGAGTGTCTGCACCAGTAAGAGGAATATGGACAATTTCACTTAACGCCCAAGCTTTGGCTGGAATGAGCCCAAGTGATGCGAGCGCGTTGGAATGACTGACACGTGCAGAACGCTGATAAAAGGCAACCAGACAGAGCACCTTATTTAGCAAGGCTCACACAGAAGTATGCGGTCACTGCTGAAGACACAACCACTGAAAATTAACAAGTTTCTGGTCACAACTTCAGCAGCAACTTACCTATTAGTACATTTATGCATGTAGATACGAGTAAAATAAACAAACTGTAAAAGTCACAAACAGCATTCGCTCTCGCACAGTCACTCACATACCCATAAACAAAGGTTTTTGCTGCTGTCTTCTACCTAACTGATACACAAATCAAAAATAACCATTTTTAAACATATTCAGACATTTCAATATAGGTATTTGCGATATCGATTCAAGTAATTCTTTGCCATATGAAATAATATATTCTATTTAATCACCAATTACCTTTTTTCCCTGAGAACACGCAAAAAGCATTCACTGCTGTTGTTCTTATTGCAAGAGATTAACATGATTTTACTGTGTTACTTTTATAAAAAGTGCATCAAAAGCTGAGTTAACGCGCTATGAAGATTTTAGTTGTTCATCAGTTTCATTTTACCTGGAGACTTTTTGTTTGTTCTTGACTGCATGGAATAGGACTGGCGTGGCAGCAGAGGCGAAGACGGCAGCGACATTGAGACTCCTTTAGCCAAGTTCATCCTGTACGAGTCCTCCGAGCCTGGCTGATGGCCACTGCCAAAATCCACATCGTGGCCAGATGTTGCCACAACCTGCACGGCGTTCTCCGGGCACGAGTCACCTGCTAAAAATAAAGTTCTGTCATCCGTTATGTGCTCTAACAAAATAAAAAACACAGAGCTGTACTGAAATGCAAGTATTTAACACAGGGAAACATACTTGCCTCAACAATTCAGCATTACTTGTCTTACCATGGACCCTCCCCTGCAGAATCCGGATAACCACCAGAAAATATTAAATACACAAGGAAGCAAGGTATTATTTTACTATAGTAGAGACAGAAGAAAAACCTCACTTTCAACAAAGTATGTACTTTTCAGATTTCGTCCTTAGAGGTGAAACCAAGTTTCCTATGAAGATAAAAATATTTTCACAGCTGAAAAGGTATTTTAGGATCACTGTGATAACCTGAACAGTCTAGCTTTATTTTTCTCTTTTAAAACTGAGAGCTCCACTTATATGCAATTTCACAGCAACAGTGATTTTTTAATCTAAGGAAATAACAAGCTACTGGTTCACAAAATACTAAGTGGCACATCCAAACAGGGAAATACACTCAGATCAGAGCAATTGCTTGCTGGTGCAGGAAATGCAATTCCAGCTAAATCAAGAATGCATTTTCAAAACAACAGAAAAATATCTTGCTCACAGTAATGACTCAAAGACAGCAGAAATACATGTTGAAAGTGCTAGGTTTTTCCTAGTTAGGTGACAGAAACAGAGCTGAAAACCAAAGGTTAACAGCCAACTACAGCTTTTTTTAATATCCAAATTAGGGTATTGCTCAATAATTTACAAGAACTACTGTTGAAATCGAATTGGTATGTTTTTTATCTTGGATAAAAAGATAAAAAACAAAGATAAAAAGATAAAAACCAGCAAAACAAAACTGATGCAAAGAGGAAAGAGAAAGCCAGCACATGTTTTAGCCAAGTCCATGTGCAACACGCACATGGCTGAAGTACTGGAACCCGAAGTACAACTAGAAGAAAAGGCAAACAAAGCAGCAGTAACACCATTTCAAATGTGAATCCCTCACACCAAGTTTATTTTCTTACGCTAAGGAAACACTTCAGATAAGTGTGGCTCTATGAGACCCACATTTCTTGTTTTCTGTTCTCATTCAATTGCTGCTGTCAATTTTTAGCAGCTGCTCTCCCACCACATTCCACCACAGGCAGCATTAACCACACACATCCAACTTCCACACTCCACCAGCAGGGAAAACAAACCTAACCCTTTGAGCAAGGTAAAAATATTTTGCCAATTTAACTACCACTCTCTTTGTTTAGGGGTATGCATGGAAGATAAGGAAACCAAACATGCCTGAATGTTACAGTCTAACTCTCTATTTCCAAAGGTGCATGTATTTAAGATTATTTGGGGGTTTTTTTCTAGCCATACTTACTGCCTCACAAGAACCACACCAGGGCTATGTATAATACATGACCTTGCAGAATGCTATCCTAGACTCAAAGTTTTCTTAACATTTCCTAACTGTAAAACTTACTTTCTTCTTCCTCTGAAACCAACTGAATTAACTCCTTCCAAAAGTCCTCTCTGTTCAACTAAAATTCATCATAACAGGCAATAATTTTAAGGAAACAACTCTAGCTGTCAAGATAGAAATTTTAAAAATAACTATCTGTAACTTTATATTCTTTTTTGAAGTCCATTGCAACTATTATAGGAGTGTAACTATTGGTTTAAAATCCTGGGAACCAGGAAAGCAGCTTCAATGTTTTAGAAAGGTAGCTGTAACATACAATTCTTAACAACAACAATGTACAGCTTAAGTATATATTTAAAATAAAAATACTAAATATTTTAGACACTATAATCACATAGATGACATTTTTTTAAAACACCAAGCTATCTAAGTTACTGATTTCCCATTCCCTTTCAGTGGAAATCAAAAGGCTAAGGATTTTCTTTCTCTGCTTTTTCAGAAATTAAACTTTTGCAATAGTTGTTTTTAAACACAAATTTAACATTAGGTATATTTTATTTATTATTCAATATAGTACATGTGAGTTTGCTTCACAAACCATTGAAGAACACACAGAGAAACTCACGATGTTCTGTTTTTTCCTCTAACATAAGCAAAAAGCAAGGCAGTAGCACAGTAATGCAGCTAACCACAATTAGAAAATACTGGCATTCTTGTTAAGCTTTTTTACTGGACACGTTGTCAGGGCTGTAATTTGGAATTTGTGTAAGTGCTGGGGCTGGAATGCTTGCGAGGGGGTGCAAGAGACAAGAAAACAACAAACAAACTGACCTCCTCCCCCCTCGGGGTTAGTCCGTCCATCCGCAATTCACAACTTATCCTTCTCTATTGTACATGAAATGTTACACCATGCAGAGCTGGATGGGGCTAAGCATGCTGCTGGCATAAGTCTAATCAATAAATTTAGATTATCTCATCATGACAGTAACTTGAGAGATATTTTACAATCTATACATGCACACTACTGTATCTTAGCAATTTTTATTCCAGCAGTACTCAGATTTTTCTGACTGCTGTTTTCCTGCCGGCACCACAGATACTGCAGGGAGAGGTACAAGATGGGGCTTTCGTGACTCGGATTCTAAGAGCAGTATGACTTAAAATACAAAATCCCAAAATGCACGCCACAGAAATTCTCATTTTCAATCACTTACTTTCCTAATTTTACAACAAGCTTTTGCTTTTTGCCACACACCCATGCTGTTAGGATACAATAGCTCTTCAGAGCCAAAAATCACACCTTGAGACAACCCAACTGTACCGGCTTCAACCTATGAGGCCATCTCAGCCTCACTGATGTTGGAACACAATTAAACACCAATGTCTTCTACTGAAGCAGAAAAAAGCACGTTATAAATGAAAAATGGTTAGGATATTATGGAATAACAGACTGCTGTTAGACACAAGTCACCCCAAGACAGCAGAAACCACAGAGTTGCTCCTCCAGGACCTTTCCAAGAAGGTGTTAACTGAAGGCAGCACCAACAGACCAACCCCACTGGTGTGAGCTCAACACACACATGGGAACAGAAGGGAACCGACAGAACCCATACACCACAACCCTCCCAGTGCTGCCCCAGCCACAGGCACAAACCACATCCTCTCCCGGGAGAACGACTCCCCACAGACCCCCCACGACCCAACAACTCAAACAGTCGTAGTCAACGGAAACCTGGTGTTTGGATGGTAAAACCTCATGTGGACTCAAGGGACTGTTCGTCCCTAAAAGCTGCTTTCTGGTGAGGAAGTCCCCGAGTCCATAAAGAGCCAGAGGCTGTAAAAGGGCAAGCAGGAGAGATGCCGTCTTGGTGGCATCTCCAGAGGATTCCTCTTCCCTGGCTTCTCCCAAGCAGAAGTTAACAAACTCACCCCCAAAGGGAGCAAGAGGAACAGAAAGAGGGTGCAGGGGCACAAAGAAGCAAGCGTGTAGGAGGAGATGTGGAAACACACCTTGGCTCTAGCTGATGCTAGGGTGAGGCTCACCTTCCTTCACCACCCACCATGGAGTGGTGAACCACCTCCCACAGCAGGAGCAATAGCTGCTTCGTGCCAAGTTCCCACTGCGAGACACCCAGTTCCCACGGGGACAACCCAGTTCAACCGAGTATTAAAGCACTTGCCTCAGACAGAGGCAATTTCGTAACGGGCTCGTGGGTCTACAGCACAGCCAGAGCTGCAGAACTGAATATTCTCACAGGACGAATGGCTGGCTACAGTTAAATTACACGGGATAATGTGGGGTGGCAAGTTTCATCTTATATGCTTATATCAGCCTTTCCTAAGTCTCTGAATCTATCCTGGATATTTAATTTATCCTAATCCTGCAGTTTCCATTTTGTATAAATCAGGCCGAAGACCAAATCCATACATTTCATCCAATTTACAGCAAAATTCCCATGAGATAGTTGGATCTCTTATATGACAAGACAGAGGCAAAATTAACAAGCTTGTGGGATCCACCAGGTACTACATGATGCTTTCCACACAACTACTTGGTATTAGGGAAACAGTACTAGAAAAACGCACCAGTAATAGCTGTCAAAATACACTTTGTTACAATGCCCGAATATAACCAGATGCCACACACTGATGCACACAGAAAGCCAAAACTACTTGATACTAACTTAAAGGTTAGTAATTTCAAATATTTTAGCTACCAGAACAATACTTTAAATTTCCATTACATTTCTTGGTCTCTACCCCAATGTACAACAGACAAAAATCAGTTCTGGAATAGGAGGAAAATGACCTCTCACAAGTTTTTTAATAATGTCAAACTAAAACATAAGGAAAGGTCCTGTGAAATCCCACTTCCTTATTTTCAAAACCTCTGAGTTTTCCACTGCCAAATAGTGTCTGGACAAAAAAGTTTCATAAGCATCAATCAACACCAGAGTTCTTATTCAGTGGTCAAAGTAACCATGGAAACAACTTAATAGCTTTAAAAACCACACACAAAAAGCTTTGAGAATGGAAATCAAACCCCAGTTTAGTTGCACCTAGGGATGCAACTGAAAGGCATAATCTGATTAACAAACTACTCCTTTTTCTTCCATAAGACACAGAGAGATACAAGGATGGCTGACTAAAAGTAATGACTTTTGTAGAGCCTAATATCCTAAAAGAGAACTTGAACTTTAAGATTAAACTAATCCTTCTATTGAATAGAGAGGATAACTAAAATGAAAACCTTTACAGTGTATACATTGGTATTAAACTTAATAAAACACATCTAATTCTTCATTCAAAAGAAGCTGCTGGGAAACCAGAAGAATGCTAACTACTTTATCAAAACACATGTGAACAGGAGTTTTGTGCAGGTCTTGGAATTCAGGTTATTTCCATGTGAAGGAGCAGGATTGCAACCTTCCAAAGAGCCAAAGTTGAAACACTGGAAACGCAGACCCCTTGTGCCTGAATATTGACAGTGACAGCGAAAGAGCCAGCGCTCCCCACACCTCTCCCAGTCCGTATTGCGGAGACAGCTGATTTTGTCGTGTGCTCCCTTAACCTCCCTACTAAAGGGAAACAAAAGACTCCAAATGCAGGTAAAA